ATTAAAAAGCATTGAAGATACATCAGAGTCTAAAAAAAATTCTGAAAAGCTAGAAGATATTAAAACGGAAAGTATATGTAAAAGTCTACAAGAATCTACAAGAAGGGGTAGGAGCATTAAGTGGGTGTAGGGGAGCATAAAAGGTTCGTATGTGAAAGACTATATCAAGTTACAAAGCACTCTAATATGACAAACTAGATGTCTTTTAAGTCTAGTTTATGGCACAAGTCGTCATCCAACAAATTTTAAGGGCTGCTGCACAGAATGTATGTACAACATTATACAGTATGTTGTGCCAGGGTTGGTATCTGAAAGCAGCAGGGAAGTGTAGAATTATCCTGTGTGCCCTTGGTATTTGTGCACTAATGGTGAGATGAGACTAGGACGAATGTCTACAGCTTCTGTGTGTCCAGTCACAGGGGCATTGTCTCTCTGGGTGAGGAATCTTCCTGTATCGGCCTTCAAAGACAGCAGAGGGGAGGGCATACCATCCTGCCTGAGTAAAGGCCCTACGGTGTTTAGGTACTTTGAGTTTAGTTAAGTATGCCATAGGGGAGGCAGAGTACCTGTTGGATTCGCTGGCAATAAAATTTGAGGTCCTGGCTAGATCCAGTTGGCACTCTGTGTCTGCTACATGCTGTTTAATAAGTTCTTTGGCCTTGTCATACCCCATGCTGAGTAGAAGACCTGAAACCCAAGGAAGAGATTTTAGTTGCCACTGCCTGTTTCCATGTGGATTGAAAATCATCTCTCATAGTTAATGGGGCAAGGGCAAGGGGAAATAGTTAAGTATGGTCACCCACACTCTAGCCTGCACTCTCATGAACTCTGTCTCTAGTCACAGGGTAGCATTAGAGACACAATTAGGGACTTGAAGGGCTGATCTTAGAAACTTGTATTGTAAAAGTTCTGAAGAACTTGGAGAAGGGGCCCAGCTGGGCACCATAAAGACGTTGTATATTGGCTTGGCTTTGAATAATTTGTGTGCTGTAGGTATACAGTGGCCATATAGGTTATTTAATTTCCCCCAAATTTAGGAAAATGTTCAAAAGTTATTTTTGCAGTTGACCTTAAATAAGAACCTAATTCAAAGAAAAATGTTAACACATCCATCAAGCAGGAAAAAAAAATCATTTCATTCAGTTCAACAATGTTATTTGAATGTCACCTCACTTCAGAGATGAACAACCTTTTGATGATCTTTGAGCTGAAGGCTGCATAGTGAACAAAACTGCATTTTCCCCTGTATGGTGAGGTAAATTTTGGAGGGAGTTTTTAGGTTGTAATATTTTGAAAAGTATATGCCTATCTTGTAATGTTTGTATGTGTTGTAGAGCAGTAAGTTACCAGTTTTTAGCAGCTGCAAACAGTGGGGATGCTGAAAGCTTCAAAAAGCAAACTCACCTATCCTTGGCTTGTTCAGTGCAGTGTAACACAGTTTTTAAAAAGCAATCAAAACTGTGTTCTCTCAATGAATACTGTAGGAGTGCATGGAGCGCCAGCATTGCTAAACCAAAATAGGTATGTATGGATCTGGATGGATTTCATTTAATAGGAGTATCTAGATAATATTTGGGAATCCAGAGTGAAAGCAGCATGCAAATAAAATAAATAAAACAATGGATTGATTTCTCCCAACTGAAATTTGGAAAAATAAATTGTCCATTTCACATCGTACTATAACTCTTGGGGTCCCCCCCCCACTTTTGTCTGCATATGTAGCTGTAAGATAGTACAGGGGGAAAAACCCTGTGAATAAATAATGTCTTTTAATTACTGAAATTTAAGTCAGATACATATCTGAAGAAGTAATGAGCTTCATAAAAAGAAGGCCTTATTGGATCAAAGTCAGTTTAAGATAAGGGCATCTGAAGGTCACCGAGGGAGCTGCCCAGCAGTCCCATTTGCATAAAAAATTACTGTTCGAAATAGGCCGGGAAGGGAGCCCTGGCGTTTTGATCTCTTGGCCTTTGTCATGGAGATTCCTTGCAGAGCAGGCAGGAAGGCCAATGTCCCAGATAATGATGAACTGTTTTAATGGCATTCATTCATTCATTCACTCATTCCGCACTAACTACTCATGCAGAAAAAAGGGTTATGTAAAATGACATTAGAAGAAAATCGTTTGTAATCGTTGCATCGGGGCTGCACTTTGAGGAGACATTAGGAGTAAATCCGTGGCGTGGTAGGCTTATGCTTTATCTTCTGATATTTACTGAGTTTACTGGTGCATGAAAAGCTTTCAGGAAGAATAGCAGATGGGATGGACCTTTTATAGGTAATGCTATCTACTGGGTTATTACTTCTATATATTGATAGTGAAGTAATCTTCAAAATATCACTCTACAAAATATAGATTATTTAAATGTTTCTAACAAAAAAATCCCATAGCAGAGCTGCTGCTATCGTTTTCTACCTATTGGATCAGAAACCTTAAATGCTTTTTAAAACCTGAAATAATTAGAATATAGTGAACTTGACAACATATTACGGGGGGTTCTTTTTCCTCTCTTGCCTTTTGGACAGCTGTAGGGAGATATGCAGAGTTAAACTGAATGGCAAGTATTCAATTTAATTTGTCTCCTTAAATCTGACCTTTTCAATTACATAAACAAAAGGAAGGGCCTCGCAGACATCTTTTGAGGTCACAAGAACACACATCTTTCTTGCCGCCCGAAACTCCTTGAGGATTTTTGTGAGATTTGAAAAGAGAAAAGCTGCTTCTCATAATGTTCTCATAAAATCTTTTTGTTCCCATATATTCTACACTATTGGGTGCCAAGATAATATTTGTTGGAAGTGATTTTCACCAGCCGTTATCACCAGTTTATTGAAATCGCTCTGCAGTGAGATGGGCGGTGACAAATTTGAAAGATAGATAGATAGGCAGGCAGACAGAGAGACAGACAGACAACCCTGGCAGAGAGATCAAACTATTCGAACAGTTCAAACTACTACTTACATTCAGTAATAGAAAGATTCACAAATCTTCAAAAACATTAATTGTTAAGGGATGGATATTAAACAATAGGATTTTAATTATACTATTGAGATCATTTTTAGAATGTATTCGTACATGTAGTCATTAGTCACCTTTTAAAAAAAAAACTCAAGATAAAACTGATGTTAATCTGTTTACCTGTAATCATCACACTCTTCAATCCATTCATTTCAAGGATTGTATAAGAGCATTAGGATAAACCAGTAAGATCTGTTCCTCATCCAGATATATAAAATAGATGATTTTTTTTCTTTTGTTTTAAGCCATGTTAGCTAAACATGAGTTATCTTTCATTAGTTACTATTGTGCAATGAAGATGTGTTTTAATGAAGACATTTTTAAAATGAAAAGGCTTTTTGTACCAGAAGTTGCTTCCCACTGAATTCAACCAATCTGTATGTACGCCACCCAGAGTTTGTTGTATGGCGCCCAGAGTCACTTTGTGTGAGATGGGTGGCTATATAAATATGATAAATAAATAAAATTGTGTTTTTCTCCCTATCGAGTTTCCCAGACTGTTAGAAGTGGTCTTCCATGCCAAGTTTGAAGGAGATAAAGTCAGGAATTCATCTGTGCCTTAAATCAGAATTTAGATATCTAGAGCAGGAGTTCTCAAACTTTGCAGTGCCTTGACCCCCTAAAATAAAGTAATTTCTGTGACACCTCCCATGAATAAAGCTAACAGTTTCTAACACACACAGAGAAACATATATAGTGGTAGAATGCTCAAACTTTATAAAGAAAAATCCATTAGGAATAAACAATAAAATAATCAAATTTAAAACCATATTTTCTATAGGGAAGAATGAGCTTGCAGTTTTATGTAATTCATGAAATCTGGGTATTATTTTTGAGACAGTCATTCTGATTCCACATACATTTTGAATTGATATTTGCTCTTTATAGCAGAAACTTTAGAAAATCCTGATTTGTGGAAAGTCTTGTCCATACCAAATGGAAGCAAATGTTGATAGCAGTCGGGCCTTAGATGTCCATGCAATGAGACTTGCACATCCTGAGCTGGAGCTTTGTAATATCATACTTTGGGCTTGTCCAGGCAGAGTGCTAACGAATTCTACCAGGGTTCTGGCTTTGACCCACATAAGCCTGATTGCTTGCACATGCAAAGTAGGATTGTGGTCAGAACCAATTTGGCTGGGCAAAATGATTGTCTGCTTCGAGAAGGAAGCTCGGAGGATGATCTGATAGGGCTCACATTACTGTATCCAGTGGGGAAAACCATTCTTGATTGTGAAGTATGACAATCTACAGAATGAGAATCTTAAGAGGAATACATTTTTAAATTTTATGGAATGGTTCCATTTATATTTTGTCTTATATCTGTGGGTGTATATATGTATGTATGTTAGAACAACATTTAAGTTTGCACAATTCTATCACTAAGTTGATTTGTAATCCAGTGAGGGCCACACTGGGTATACATTCATGTTATACGCTACCTGTCTTCTGATCCATACACATATTCATCCCCCCTTCCTCCCAGCAATTCTGTTTTCAGTTTTAAGTTCCTCTCAGCAGGAAAGTATTTTTATTAACTTGGTAATCAAGTGAGAGATAGCAAATAGAATTGCAATTAGTGCAAGAACATAACAAAAGTTAATGCATGGATACTTTGGGGCTTGACTTAGAAGTATTTCTTCATTTCTTATGTGCAAAAGAATGATTTTTTTAATGTGCTGCCTGTTACAACACAGTTATAAGTAGGTTTTCTACAAAGCAACTTTTCATTTTATCTGAATTTGGTTATTGCTGATAGTTGATAAGATTAAGGCTGCAATAATATGGACATCTTTATAGGTGTAAGGCATGTTGAATATGGTGATATATATAATAGAATTACAATATAGTATTTTTTAAAATGAGTAACAGATGTAATTCCACTGCTATTGATTGGATGGTGAAACTACATTGTTTTAGTTATAGTTAATCTTACTTGGAATTTTACTAAGTTTCATTGCTGCCAATTTTTCTGTTTCAGACTAGACCAGGACCACTCAAGAAGGCTAACTCTTACTCTCTGCAGCCTGCTTCAGTGTACTGTTACAACTGTGCAGAGAAAGGCCATTATGGATTTGTAAGTCTCTAATACTATTAATAAATATTCTGTTAACAAAAAAACATTAACCATGTATAACGTAGGACCAATATAAAGTTAGTTGTGCTAAGAGAGACTAAGATTTGAAGTGTACTTACAAATAGTTGTGTGCCTTATACATTATTTAATTAATACAATCAAAACTGGTAAATGGCATTAGTTTTACTATTTTACTTCTATAGGCAGGAGAAGTCAAGGATAGGATATAAATTCTAGGAATGCTGTGTATCTTGTGTCACTATGATTAGCAATGTGTAAAATGTTCAAATGTACATGATTCATCCATAGATGAAGAATCTCTGATACGTTTAGAAGTGGCATTCCAAACTTTCTGAGGTTTTGCAGATAGTAAGAGGGTTGTTTCTCATATAACATGAATTATTAAAGTGATACAGAAGGTAATACAGATAGTCCTCAGTTTATGACTACTCGTTCAGCAACCATCCAAACTTGCAACAGTGCTGAATCAGTGGTACTTATGACTGGTCCTCAGAGTTCTGGCCATCGCAGCATCCCTGTGGTCACATGGTCACCATTTGCAATCTCCTTTGCCAGCTTCCGACAAGCAAAGTCAATGGGGAAGCCATCTGGAGGTCGCAAATGGTGACCACCTGATGTCCTCGCTTAACGGCCTGTGCAGTTCTTGCTTAATGATGGCAACCAGGACAGTCGGAATTGTTGTCGCTAAGCGGCGTAGCCATGTGGCATTGCTCTTTACAATCCCATCACTTAACGATAGAAATTCTGGTCCCAATTGCCATCATAAACCAAGGACTACCTGTAGAGTTGTTAGGCCCATCTCACATTCTGTGTTTTCTACCTTAACCACTGCTTTAAATTTTAAACTAGATTAATAACCAAAGCTTTTATTGTTTATATCTTATCTTCCTTTGTTTTTTACTTTCCTCATGCAATGATTTAGCTATCTAGATGTATTTTATGGGGTTTTCTTTCAGGGTTGTGATACTGGGTTTTGCTAGGTTACTTTGGTTTCTGGTAAGGTCCACATTTGTTTGTTTGTTTCTTTATTACAGTACATTTTATACCACATATGTATTTTAAAAAATTGCAAGTGATGTAGAAATAACTAAGTTTATTTATGTACATTTTCCAAGTCATCTTTCATGTAATTTAAGCCCAAAACACATAAAGTAAACATACATACAGTATTACCATGGCTTATATGGTTTGGAGAAAGTCAAGAAGACTGTTTTGGTTGCGTAGAGCTGGAGGTCTTGGATAGATGAACAGAATGTAAATAGAGCTTTTGAACACAATTGGGAATATCAACAAACCCATCTCAGGGAGGAGAAAAAGTAAAAATAAGATGGCAGATGGTAGACATTTATTGTGATAAATGCCCTATTTTTGAGATAAAACACTTTCAGTACATGATTGTATAAAACAACCTATAGCTTTAAAAATAGCATAGTCTACTAGCATATTTTAAATATGGGTACGTTACTTAAAATCCCCTGGAATTTATATGGAATTGTATTTAGAAACACTATATGATCTGTGCAGAATTCCCTGATCATATTTTCTCTCTAGAAATAGTTGGAATTATTTTACCACATTTGACATCTTAAGCTTCAGTAAGTGTGTGTATGGTCAGGTATGAGAAAAAATTAAGAGAAATTGAATGAACTAATAGAGCATGTTAACATTTCATTGACTCCATTGAGATTTTACAAGAAGTTCTCATTTCTCAAAGGCAGTGATGTCACATCACAATTTTAATTCTCACCATCCTGTTCTAAAAGAGAATTCAGAATCTGTAGGCATGTCAAAAAGGTACTGACCAATACATTTGTATTGTTAGTACATGCAGTGAAGAACTTGATTATGAAAGGATCAGCAGTTGAGAGTGGTCCAAGCTAACTGATGCAGAGGTGTCCTGCACCTGTTAAGGCTTGCTGGTACAGTTTACTGCCCAGGTATTCTTCATTATAATGAATTGGAACTGCCCTAAGAACTCTATATTAAATGAATCATTTGGATTCAACAGTGGCTAGATATCTGCCTTATACTGTGATATCATGCATTCTGAAGCAAGAGGTGTACAGGGCTCCACATGCCTATGTCACTGTTTTCAGCAACTTCATAGCAGGAACAGATCTTGCATTTTTCAATTCTTCTCTCACCATCAGGAATGAGAAACTGTGAAGAGATTGCAGCTTGTGTTATAAAGACTAACATAATCCTCAGGTATTAATACAGCTATTGTATGTAGTTAGTTAGTGAGATTCTTTATTGCAATCAGTGACTATTCCATAAAACACATTGAATACATTAGTTTAGGGATTTGCAAATATTAGAATCAGAATTTTTCAGTAGAAGCAAAGAACAAACTACTAAGCCATACTATCCTGGGAAACTGAGAGCTGAAAAGCAACCAGAAGGGTTAGAAATCAAGAGAGAAAGATGCTGAGAAAGAATCTTTTTCCTCTAAAATGTGCTCAGAAATACAAGAATCTAAACTGGAGGACTCATCCGAATGTTAGTTAAATCTTAGTATTCAGATTTGTGCCCATATCTGCAAACTGCAGGACCAAAAAAGAAGAAAACAAAGCAGAGACTTTGCAGATATGTCTAGCATTCATATTCCAAGCTGTCAGTCAGATACAATTTTTCTCAGGTGTGTTGGTAAGAGACTGAGATTTCTAGCCTGTGTGTGTTACCTGTGGTGCTAAGGAACATCTCCAGAGTATTTAAAAATACAAAGCATGTGGCAGTAGTGGCAGTTGACTTAGAAGAGACAGGTCTGGGAAGTGCATGTCATACACTATTCAGATGATTATTCAATGCATCCATGTTAAAAGGAGTAGGAGTGGCTATTTTTAGAGACCTCTTCTTTTTTATCCACTAGGGCTTTACTGTCAAGCTACTAGGGGGAAGGCCATCTTCTTGGACTATCTATCTTTACAGCATCTCCAAAAACTTTGGAGGAGCACACTCCATAGCCATCAAAGATTATTTATCCTTATTTAATAGCTATGCATGAATTATTAGAAAGTAGTTGGTACAAATAAATGGAAAATCCTTGACAGGTCTTCACTTCTTCCCAAAAATTATTCTTTATCATGGTGTTTCACATACATGGGTTATGTGTCTGAGCAGAGCTTGTTCAGAATCTTCTCAAGCTTACAATGTGTCTTGCTGAGAATGCTGGCCCTGTGTTCTTTTGAGATCAAAACATTATACTGTCTGCTTCTTTCCCAAATTCTTAGTTATTGACTAGGAAGTCATTCCAATCACTCTTCGTTTGCTTTTCACTTGCATTGAGATCAGTACAATATATGTTTTTACCCTTTCAGGGTCCATCTGAGGCATTGTGGTTTTTCTCTTCAGCGTTTTTCCAAATTGGTTTGGCTGAAGAGAAAAACCACAATGCCTCAGATGGACCCTGATGCAGCCATCAGACTTTGTTACAAGCAAGGCAACCAAAAGTGCCCTCTTCCGATCTGTGGTCACTTTGCAAGACCTAGGATCACATCTGCATCCTTTCTTCATTAGATTCCCCTTTCATAAATACGCAGGGCAGCTTTCTATCTATACCTAGCATTATCATCTGGATTTTCATTCTCAAAAGGATGTAGCCTTTAGAAGTGCAGTCCTTTGTATTGTACCTTATGAGCACTAAGCCCCTCTAGATAATAAGCCAGCTATTCACCCATGAGTGTATGATCACAGAGACCACAGTGAAGAACTGATTACTTATCTGTAACTGAAGTTCTTTGAGTAGTCATCTGTGAGTTCACTCAACCCTCCCTCCTACCTGCTTTTGTTCTGGGTGACCTCAATATTTCTCTTAGAATTCACTATATTGGTTTCAGACATGGAGGGGATTTAGGGAAAGCTGCACCTAGTCATGTGTGGTATGCAGAGAGCTGCACTTCAGCCAAGAAATACCATATACTTTAGACGTTTCAGAACAAAGTTTTATTCAAGGTATATACTCGTGTGTGAATTCACAGATGATCACTTCAGGTACAGATAAGTAACCAGTTGTTTCAAATCAAATTTATAAATTGGGAGAGATTATTTGTTGGTTTAGGGTGAGGTATCATCAGCATGTTGATGACATCCAACTGTGTATCTCACACACACACACACACATGCACGCACCACCAGCACCCCAGGTTGAGCTGAAGCTGCTGCAGAAATCTTGAAATAGTGTCTGGAAGCTATAAGGATGTGGATGGGAAGACACAAGCTCAGGTTATATTCTACTAAAGTGGAATTGCTGTTTGTTAGTGGCATCCAGGAATATCAGCCACAGTGAGGCTGTTGATAGGATCATGATTCCCCCAAAGGAACTGGCCCATGATTTGGAGGTCTTCCTGGACTCAGGGCTCTTCTGAAACAGCAGAAGGAACCCATGGTCAGGGATCCTTTGCCCTGCTCTGGCTGATATGCCAATTTCATCCCTACCTGGACTAGGATGCTGTGGCAACAGTAACTTATGCCCTGCAATACTTTGCATGTTGGGTTGCTTTTGAAGTTGACTCAGAAACTATAACTGGTCCAGAACGTGGTAGCCAGGCTATTGCAGGATAAAATCTATTCTTAAATTAATAAGTATATTGTATTAGGTTACCAGTAGGTTTCTGGGCCCAATTCAGTCTGCTGGTCATTACTTAGGGAGCCTTATGAGCTGCTGGGATAGATCTGGGACCATGATACCAAAAATGATTCTGCCTATCTAGTACAGTCAACAAGAAAGGCCTATTGAGATCCCCACCCCACCCCTAAGAGTTCCATGGTTCAGGACAAAACAGGCCTTTTCAGTAATAACCTCCAAATTCTGGGATATTCTATCTACAGAAGTGTTGTTGTTGTTTAGTCGTTAAGTCGTGTCCGACTCTTCGTGACCCCATGAATCATATTG